AACACTGTATTTCTGGAACCATGAATTTCTCTATTGCTCTTACCACCACTTCATGACTTTTCACCGGACTCTCCAACCTCACTTTATACAATGGAACACTGTACTTTCTCACAATGAATTCAAAATATTACCAACTTTTCTGGCAATACTCCTTCTGATTACATGCCTCCTCATCTCTCACCAAAGATTGACTTGCTCCTGTACCTCTTAAAATTAGCTGGCTGGTAAAGTTTTTCCTCAAATCCCCTCTAAATTTCCTGCCTTTCACCTTATTATTTTGTATATAATATGCAAGACAGATCAAGATTAGTAGCTGCCTTGGATGCCCAAGGAATTAAGAGGGATGGAGACGGTGTGAGAAAATAAAGTTGATGTAGATAATCATGTTCTTGTTGAATAGGGGAATGGGCTGGAAGTGCTAGATACCCTATTACAGCTTCTATTTTATTCTACCTTAAGTGAATCATTTAGAATTTGTTGTGTTATAAGTTAAACAATTTAAGGTGCAAATGTAACTCTGAATCAACCCCCTCCTCCTGGAATACATGACTAAACCTTACCCATATACATACATACTTTAAAGAGACCTGGCACTTCCTTCTCAACCAGCCTCTGGTCAGATTGCACATTCTTTTGCAGCGTTGTAGCTTCCACTGTGCTTTCCTTTACCACTTCAACAAACTCACTGGCTTATCTTTTTTTCCCACAGCCATCTTCCCGTTGCTTCTTCTAAACCACCAACACTGTCAATTCAAATGATCTACTATCTTACAGTGAAAACACCTGAGGTTTTTCACTTCTCTTTCCCCCTCATGGGTTTCCTTTTCACCCTATGGTAGACTATCTTAACTATCTTCAGCGAGTTCTCCTTTTCTCTTGCCACCTGAGGATTTCTCTTCTTCCTAATTTCTATCCTTCACAAATTGAAAGTGATGCTGGAAGCCAAACCTCGGACAAACTCATAATTATCTGCCATTTCCGCTGCTAATCTTGCAGTCTTAACACTCTGGTCTTCCACAAGTTCTCACTACTTCAGGAAGTCAATTTTTGAACTGCTTCAAAATAATCATCTCTGAAAGAGCACCACATGTCTGATATATTTTTAATGCCCTTATCCACCTATCAAAATTACTTTGTTTGATTCTTTCACACTTTATTTATATTTGACCCGGTTCCCTCTTTAGATTCCTAAAGCTTTGTCTGTAGGCTTCTGGTACTAGCTAATATGCACTTAAGATGGGTTTTTTCACATAATCATAATCCCCAGATACCTCCTGTGATAGTGATGCGAACACCTCATTAGCTCTACCTACCAATTTTGTTTGGATCCACAATACCCACGTGGTCACCAGCCATTTCACTTGTTTAGCCACCTTCACAAATGAAATGAAAAGTCTTCTACATCCTTCTCATCAAACTTAGTCAATGCTTGTACATATTTAAACAGATCCCCACCAGGCCTTTGGCTATGATGGGACTGCTCTCCATCACTGTCCTCTTCACTACTCCTACCTCTGCCGTTTTAAGTTGACTTTGAGTTTTCAGTTCCAACCTCTGAAGTTCAAAAGCTCTGTCTTTCTCCCTTTCTTCTGCTGGGGTATTCCCTTCCTTTTTTTGTTCTGCTTTTAATTGTAAATTAAACTGTTTCACTTCCTTTTCTCTTTCTTTTTCTTTTGCCTTTAACTCAAGCTGTTTCATTTTCAATTGAATTTTAGCCATTTCCAAAGATTCTGATGGCAATTCCTGGCAACTGTAAATGGTGAGCAATTGCCACAATTATTTCCCCTTTCCTCACAGACACAGGCAGCCACAACTCTAATTTGTCTGCCAATTCCAAAAGCTTTGCCTTGTTCACTTTTTGTAAAACACCCAAAGTGATTTCTTATACTCCAGGAAACTCTAAGTGACTGGAAGAGCCATTACTACACAAGGCACACCCTGTTTAAACCAACCAAATGCAACGCCCATAATAAAAAACACCAACACTTACCACTCACTGCTTTCGAGTCAATAATCCTAAACACAACATAGAATTAGAGATTTTGATCCCGAAAAGAACGCCCGATTTGTTATGAACCAGACTAAATTCCCTCAAAACCTGTCAAGAAGATACCCTGGACCTGAACTTTTTCTTATTTTAAAGGCAAATGCAAGGCGTTGTGTTTGGGATATAATTCGATAGGTCAAACTACCAGGCTTGAAGCAAAGCACACTTTATTCATACAGTATCGTTAAAAGACAACAACAGAAAGACGAAATTGGAATAACTTAAGTCTGTTGGACAGCTTAACAGAATAGTAGATTATTTAATGACTAAACAGTAACTGTATAGTAACATTCCATAAACACACCTTGGCACAGGCAAATTCAGTAAAATAGATAGTCTCACATGCAATTCTAGCAACAGGAAGAGAATCCCCAGTTTAAAATTTTTTGGAGCGGATAATGAGAGAGAAAAGTCATTTATGGAAATCAGTTTAAAATAAAAAAAGTCAGTTTATTAATGATAATATATTTTAACACTTATTCATTTTTATTTGACCTAAACTTTTCTCCTTTCCATTTTTGCTTATATTCATGAGGATCTGTCCATTGTGAAATTAAAAATATCAGAATTACTACCAGTTCAGTCTGTTTTGATTATTAGGAATGGAAGATCAGATGCTGGTTTCTGTAAGTTATCTGGTCGTACCACAAATGCCCAGGGCATCTGTTTACGCTGCAAATTGATGAAATCTATCCCTGCAAAAAAAATCAGCCTGTCTAACCAAGTAATAATTTGGATGGTTGACTTCTCTTTTGGTGGCAGTGCATCAGTAGATTTGAGGTACGTTCAATGGTACTTACATATTCTGAATGAAGAGACAATGTGCTAAAAGTAGTTACTAGTTAGTAAGTAAAGTTGTGCACTACATTTACAAACATAAAGATATAGACGAGGCTCTCATATACTTTAGCAACTAGAGATTAAAAACTACAATGCACATTTCTTTCTCAAATTCCTATGTTTAAAAATGCCATGTCATTAATTTAAATGATCCAACAATTTTAATTTTCTTTAACCACTAAGTTCCCACGAAGTTCATTTTATATCCTGTTTTATTTTGAAAGATTGCATCATGACAGTATAGGAATGAAAATAATACAGATTTTAAAATTATATTTTTTTGAAATGGACGCTGACAAATTGTTAAAACAGCTGCCAAGAGAGTTTGATAACCTTTGCAAATTCAACATAGACTATTGAGCTTCTAGAAACTTGTACATTTATTTATTATGATTATTTATAATGGGTGAGGTTCTCCTATTTGATTGACACACCTAAAGAATTTAGACTCCTTAATACAACATCCACAAGAGCTTCTTTACATGACCTACTGAATAGTGTTCAGTGCAAAGTTATTCGGGATCTGACACTAGCCATGTAAATTTACCTGAACTAAAATTCCAAATCAGGAATGGTGGTTTGTCAAGTCACATAACAACTGTACGAAAATATATTAGAAGTAGGAACCACAATGAGCCAGCATTATGCTCGACATGTCACAAACACACCACAGAATTTGCCATTGCATCTCAACCCACCACAAGGAAATTAAAAATTTTCTTCCAGTCTAATTAAATCAGTCCATGTGCCACAGTACCCATCCTGTGTGCTTCATAAATCCCAGCCTTCCACTGTCATTTTTGTTTTCCTGCAGTGTTACCTGATCCTCATGGCTTTGGCACGACAGAAACATGGAAACATATAAACTAAGAGCAGGAGTAGGCCATTCAGCTCTTTGAGCCTGCTCCACTATTCGATATGATAATGGCCGATCCTCTATCTCAACGCCATACTTCTTCTTTCTCTCCATACCCTTTGATGCTCTTAAAATAAAAACATTTATCCTTCTGTTTTTGAATGTACTGGAAATCTATTGGGCACTGGATACTGCAAAGGCTAGGTGCCCTGCTCTTATTCCAGCTGTGGTACTGAAGAATTGTGCTCTAGAACCCCTAGCCAAGCTCTTCAGTACATTACAGCATTGGCACTACCTGACAATGTGGAAAATTGTTAAGGTATGTACCATAAACAAAAAACAGGAAAATTCCAACCCAGCCAATTGCTGCCCCATCAGCCTGCTTTCAATGATAGTAGGAACTGCAGATGCTGGAGAATCTGAATAACAAGGTGTAGAGCTGGATGAACACAACTGGCCAAGCAGCATCAGAGGAGCAGGAAGGCTGACGTTTTTGGACTGACCTATCTCCTCCCTACCTCCCCACCTACACTCACCTTTACTGGCTCCATCCCCGCCTCTTTGACCGGTCTATCTCCTCTCCACCCATCTTCTCCTCTATCCATCTTCTATCTGCCTCCCCCTCTCTACCTATTTATTTCAGAACCCCCTTCCCCTCCCCCATTTCTGAAGAAGGGTCTAGGCCCGAAACATCAGCCTTCCTGCTCCTCTGATGCTGCTTGGCCTGCTGTGTTCATCCAGTTCTACGCCTTGTTATCTCAGCCTGCTTTCAATCATCATTTGTGGGTAAGGTCAAGGACCAAAGAGCACCACTTTAAGGCGAGTTGGCAGAGAACTATGAGGAGAAGCTTGTTTTGTGGATTTAACAATTAGGATCTGGAATACACTGGCCTAAGGTTGATAGAGACAAATTTCATTACGGCTTTTAAAAAAGGAACTGGATGAACATCAGAACAGATGTTCCAGTTCTTTGGGGAAAGGGTGAGGGAATTCAACTAGCTGAGTTCTTCTTGCAGACAGCAATACAGACAAGACAGTCTTCCTTCTGTACTGTAACTTCTCCATAATTTTGATACTGGCAATATTAGAAAGAAAATTAATTATGATTGCTTTACTGATTATTTTTATAATTATACATGTATACATGCAATGGTTACAAAATATCCTCCTCATTGTGTCACACATTAAATCATTGCATCCTCTTTGTTGCAAATATGGAACTGTGGATAGACTCTAAACCAATACAATCATCATTACCAGAGAGATGGTCAAGATGATGGGCTTTCCTTGGTTCTCACACATGAATGAAAGGGCGGAAGCTGTGTAGGCCAATGTATCTGTGCCATGAAGGATCACAACACCATTGTACTGCTGGTAGTTTTGCTGAGAGAAAGAAAAACAGAGCTTAGAAGCAGTAGATCAATTAGAATGGTCATTGAAGGAATCTGCCAACAGCAGGTTAGATCGTCATGAATAGAACTATTCTTACTAATTTTACTGCACAATAAATCCAATATTTAACTTTCATATCATAGACAAGGCACTTCAAACTTTCAGTGCTAATCAAACAGCACAAAAATTATAAAAATCAGCATGAAAGATGGTAATAATTGATTTGGCCATTTGGATATTATGAAACCCTTTTAATCTGAAATGATATGATACATTTTTAGCCGTAAAATCTGCATGGCAATATTGCATCTAAGTGCTGGGGTGCAATCACCTGGGACTTCTGATGCTGACCTCACCACAGTTTTCCTGCTTAAATCGGTACAGCATTTCTGAGATGTAGCTGGCAGACTTGCCTTGTCAAAAGATGCCACAATATGCGAAAGGATGACTGATCATGGGCAGATCGGGGAATTGTTCGAAAGAAAACAACATTCTGCCCTTTTGTAGGAAGTTTGCAATAATTTTTTTTTAAAAATACTTTTCCGATTTCCAAACACAGTCCAAGCCTGGATCTTCAGCTGAGGTCCAGCACAGGGTCACTGAGAGGGAGAGGCATCACTTCAGCGCATACATTACAGCCTGGAAGCAGTCACCTGCACTAAACAAGAGAATGTTGTGGATCTGGTATCCAGGACCTGGAAGGTGTTAATCTCTGGATTACTTCCAGTGCCATGTGCTCTTTAGGGTAAGAACAGGAGGATATGGCAGATGAATGTGTAGCTAAAGATTTAGTACAGGGGGCAGGGATTCAGATTCCTGGATCATTGGGATTTTTTCTAGGGTAGTGGTGGCCTGTTCAAGAGGGATGGGCTGCATCTGAACTGGAGGGGAACGAATATCCTGGCGGGCAGATTTGCTAGCGCTGCAAAGGAGGGTTTAAACTAGTTTGGTAGGGGGGTGGGATCCTCAACAGCAGGGAGGCAAATGCGAGGCTAGAAAGAGATACAGTAATCAGAAATAGCAAGTTCAGAAGACAGGTCAGGTTGGAACAGGATAGAGAGCGAGGAATGCCTGTTGGATTAAATTGCACCTATTTCAATGCAAGAGGGTTGACAGGTAAGGCCAATGAACTCAGGGTGTGGACAGGTACATGGTACTGATATATTATAGCCATTACAGAAACATGGCTAAGGGAGGGACAGGACTGGCAGCTTAATGTGCCAGGGTACAGGTGCTATAGGGACAGAGGTGGAGGAAAGAGGGAGGGGGAGTTGCATTTTTGATCAAGGAGAGTATCACAGCAGTAGTCAGAGATGAGATAACTGAGGGATCATCCAGTGAGGCTTTGTGGATGGAGCTAAGAAATAAGAAGGGGATGGTGACGTTATTGGGGTTGTACTATAGGCCCCCCAAGTAGTCAATGGGAATTTGAGGAACAGATATGCAGGGAGACTGGGGAGACTTGCAGGAGCAATAGGGTTGTCATGGTGGGGGATTTTAATTTTCCTAATATAGACTGAGACTGCCATAGTGTTAAGGGCTTAGATGGGGTGGAATTTGTTAAATGTGCTCAGGAAAGTTTCCTCAAGAGGGTCCTATGTAGGAAGGGGCAAAACTCGACCTACTCTTGGGAAATAGGGCAGGACAGCTAACTGAGGCGACAGTGGGGGAGCACTTTGGGACCAGTGACCAGAGTGTGATTAATTTTAAAATAATTATGGAGAAGAATAAAACTGGTTCACAGGTTCAAGTTCTAAATTAGGGCAAGGCGAATTTTAATGGAATTAGACAGGAGCTTGCAGGGATTGATTGGTGTAGTTTGTTTGCAGGCAAAAGGACCTCTGGCAAGTGGGAGGTCTTTAAAAGTGTGATAGGTGGAGTTCAAGGCCTATATGTTCCTGTGAGGGTGAAGGATAAGATTGGAAGGAGTAGGAAACCCTGGATGACAAGAGATATTGAGGCTTTGACCAGAAAAAAGGAGACATGGCTCAGGTATGGGCAGCTGGTATCAAGAGAATCCCTGGAGGTATATAGGGGATACAGGAGTTTACTGAAGGAGGAAATCAGGAGGGTGAAAAGGGAGCACGAGATAGCTTTGGCTGGGAAGATTGGAGTGAATACAAGGAGATTCTTTTAAGTATAAAGGAAAAAAAAACTAGAGAGAGAATAGGACCCCTCATAGATCAAAGTGGATATGTATGTGTGGAACTGCAGGGGATGGGCGAGGTCCTCAATGAATATTTCTCTTTTGTGAAGACTTGGGAACTTGGGACGTTAGCAGCAATATCTTGGGACAGTTCACATCACAGTAGAGGAGGTGTTGAAAGTATTAGAATGAAGGTGGATAAATCTCCTGGTCCTAACCAGATATATCCAAGAACCCTGCAAGAGGCCAGAGAAGAAATTGCGGGGTGCCTGACTGATATATTTGCATCATCGTTAGCCACGGGTGAGGTTCCGGAAGACTGGGTGGTAGTGTGCCCTTATTCAAGAAGGACTGTAAAGAAAAACCTGGAAATTAGAGACCAGTAAGCTTAACATCTGTGGCAAGTAAGCTACTTGAAAGATTCTGAGGAATAAGATATACCTGCATTTGGAAAGACAGGGTTTGATATGGAGTAGTCAGCATGGTTTTGTGCATGGGACATCATGCCTCACAAATTTGTTATGAAGTGACCAGGAAGGTTGATGAGGGCAGGGCAGTAGACTTATTCTATGTGTTTCCAGTAAGGCCTTTGCTAAGATTCCACATGGTAGGCTGTTCTGGAAGGTTAGACCACATGGAATCCAGGGAGAGCTGGCAAATTGGATACACGATTGACTTGACAGTAGGAAGAAGAGGGTAGTAGTGGAAAGATGCTTGTTGGACTGGAGGCCTGTGACTAGTACTGTGCCTCAGGGGTTGGTGCTGGGCCTATTGTTGTTTATTATCTAGTTGATATCAATGATTTGGATGAGAATGTACAAGGCATGATTAGTCAGTTTGCAGAGACACTAAAATAGGTGGTATCATGGACAGTGAGGAAGGTTATCAGAAATTGTAGCAGGATCTTGATCAGCTGGGGAAGTGGGCTGAGAAATGGAAAATGGAATTTAACCTAGATAAGTGTGAGGTGTTGCATTTTGGAAAGTGAAATCAAGGTAGGAGTTTCATGGTGAATGGTAGGGCCTTAAGGAGTGTAGTGGAACAGATGGACCTTGAGGTTCAGATGCACTGTTCTCTGAAAGTGGAGTCACAGGTAGACAGGGCAGTGGAGGCGGCTTTTGGTGCACTAGCTTTCATCAGTCATGGCATTGAGTATAGAAGTTGGGAAGCTACATTGCAGTTGTACAGGATGTTGGTGAGGCCCCACTTGGAGTATTGTGTTCAGTTTTGGTTACCTTGTTATAGGATGTCATTAAACTGGAAAGAGTGCAGAAGAAATTTACATGGGTGTTGCCCGGACTCGAGACTGAGTTATAGGAAGAGATTGGACAAGCTAGGACATTTTTCTTTAGAGCATAGGAGACTGAGGGGGTAGTACATAAGATCATGAGAGGCATGGATAGGGCGTTTGCACTGTTTTTTTCCCCAGGTTTGAGGAATCAATAACTAGAGGGCATCAGTTTAAGGTAAGAGGGGAAAAATATATATGGGAACCTGAGGGGCAACTTTTTTACACAGAGGGTGGTAAGCATATGGACTGAGCTGCCAGCGGAAGTGGTTGAGTCTGGTACATTAACAACATTTACAAGGCATTTGGATGAATACTTGGATAGGAAAGGTTTAGAAGGATATGAGCCAAATGCAAGTAAGTGGGGTTAGCATGGGTGGACATTTTGTTCAGCATGGACTAGTTTGGGCCAAAGGGCCTGTCTCTGTGCTGTAGGACTCTATTACTCTCTATAACTCTATTTTTTTTTATTCATTCACCAGATGAGGGCGTCACTGGCTAGGCACCATTTATTGCTCATAAGAGTCGACCACAATACTGTGGGTCTGGAGTCACATGTAGGCCAGACCAGGTAAGGTTGGCAGTTTCCTTCCCAAAAGGACATTAGTGAAGATTCTTAATTCCAGATATTTATTGAATTCAAATTCCACCATCTGCCATGGTGGGATTCAAACCCGAGTCCCCAGAACGTTATCTGGGTCTCTGGATTAACAGTCCAGTGATAAATACCACGAGACCATTGCCTCCCCCCATTCAGATCCAGGTACTAATACAATGTTTGAGACATTGGGAGTCTGCACTCTCCTAAGCCCCATCCATTCCCATCTGATTCGCCTGTATAGAGAGAAAATGGTGCCACTACCACTTACAAAGCCCCAAGGAATATCTCATGTAAACCCACGATCTGCATTTATCTGGATCCTGGTCACACTGGCTTCTTTAGCAGACTTCTGCTGGAGTTCCATCAGAGATATAATTGAAAGGTTGAAGATTTTTGGCACCTTTATGTTCCATCAAGGATATTGCTGATATCTGTTTTTTTAATCTTTAAATGTTATCTTAAAATGTTTTAAAATGTAAAACAAAAATGAATTAGATGTAATTAGAGGGAGACACCTTGGAGGGTTCATCCAGCAAGGCCATATGGAGAGAGCTAAGGAATAGGAAGGGTGCAATCATTTTGATGGCATATACTACAGGCATCCCAACAGCCAGCAGAAGATTGAAGAACGGATAACATAGACAGATTCTGGAAAAATGTGAAAACAACAGGGCTATTATGGTGTGAGATTTTAACTTGCATTATATTGATTGGGACTCCCTTAGTGCCAGGGGCTTGGATGGGTGGGGGGCAGAATTTGTTAGGTATATCCAGGTGGGTTTCTTGAAGCGAAATATCAGTAGTCCAACCAGGGAAGGATCCAGACTAGGCCTGGTATAGGGGAATGGTCCCGGCCAGGTGATCAAAGTTTCAGTGGGAGAGGATTTCAGGAACAGTGACCATAAGTCCGTAAGTTTTAAGTTACTCATGGATAAGATAAGAGTAGTCCTCAGGTG